ACAAGATACTGTTTTCAAAGGGTCAGAAGTGAAAGAAAATGTGAGTTATTGAAGGAATTGAAAGAATGTCAGTACAGGGAGATGGAGAGGGTAAGACTGCGAGTAACTGGAAGTGAAACTGCAAAGTGAGAAGGGCCCAATTGTGACGGACCTGGTAAGGACATTGACGAGTTTTAAGCAGGTTATCAATGGAACCAAACCTGTGTTTTGTTTCATGTTTTTATAAATGTCCTGGAGTTGAGAGAAGAAAACAAACAAAAAAATACTTCTAGGATGATGAGTTATACTTTTAGATACTTCATTCTAATGCCCAAAGACACATTATCCTAAGCAGCCAGACAAAAGGTACCTAGAATGTTCTGAGCTAGATTGTTAAGTGCTTGCTACATGCTAATAATACCTCCATTAGCATATAATGTTGACTAAAATGTATTTGTCTTCATAAAACTTATACTCTCTGCCAAATAGATGAAGACTGAGATTTGTACCATTTATGAACATGGCCTTGTTGATTAGTTTTTATATATGATTAATTCACAATAAAACCATTTTGTGTTTTGTTGAGACTAAGTCTCAAGTTCACTGCTATAAAAAGAATAGCTGTCATCTATTTGGGGGATGAATCCTTAGTTCATTTGCTTTAACGTCCTATTTGGCAAAACAAGAACTTGTATCAGTTAGGTCAGTGTCTTCTACTGTTGCAAACACTCAGACCTCTCGTAACCTCTTTTAATCTTGCCAAATATTTAGTAACGTTTCTTGCAAAAATAGATCATAGTAGATCAGCAGGCTGGGCCCAAGTTAAAGAGAATACAGCTTTTGAGGAACCTCCGTAGTGACTGTCCCAATTTACAGTCCCACCAACAGTGCACAAGGATTTTCTTTTTACAGCATGTTAGTTCCTCAAAAAAATTGAAATAGAACTACCATATGACCCAGCAATCCCACTTTTGGATACTTATCCAAAGAAATCCAAAATACTAATTCGAAAAGACATATGCACCCCCATGTTCATTGCAGCATATTTACAATAGCCAAGATATGGCTAGCAATAATAAGTGCCATGAATGGATGAATGGATAATGAAGATGTAGTGCATATACTAAGACCTTACTATTAAGGTCACGAACTTTCCACCATGCACTTACACAAAAGTTCACGAATTTAAGTGTCCGACTTCGTATACACAATGGAGTATCTCTCAGCCATAAAAACTAATGAAATCTTGTCATTTATGACAATATGGATGGACCTAGAGGGTGTTATGCTAAATGAAACAAGTGAGACAGAGAAAGAAAAATATCATATGATGTAACTTATATGTGGAATCTAAAAAACAAAATTAATGGAAAAAAACAGAACCAAATTCATAGATACAGAAAACATTTTGATGGTTGCCAGGTGGGAGTGGAGTTGTGGGGGGAATGGGTGAAAAAGGGGAAGGGATGAAGAAGTACAAATTGCCAGTTATAAAGACGGGGATGTAAAGTACAGCATGGGGAATATAGTCAATAATATTGTAATAATTATGTATGGTGTCAGATGAGTATTACACTTATTGGGGTGATCATTTTGTAAGTTATATAAATGTCTAATTACAGTGTTCTTTATCATCATGCTTATTGAAAACCAGTGTGATGATGTTTTCCAATTGAAATGTTCCACCTCTTTTGTCTCTAAGCAGATTTCAAAATCAAATGTGCTTATCAAAAGATTTTTCATTATCTTTTTAGATCAATATCTTATTAAAAGCTCAAAAATTGTTTTGGTGGTATATCCTATTTTATTAAAAAATAACATTATTAACCTTGAGTTAATCTGATTTTAAGCATTTTGTTGATTTCCTAAATTAAAAAATGTATCGTTGAAAAGCAGAAAATTCAGGGACCCCCAAAATTTACACTGTTGGATTAATGAGGGATGTTTAAAACAAATACAGGCACAAATAGCATTTATTGGGATATCCACTAAACAGCTCAAACTAAATGGAATTGCCAGAATTTAAGCCAGTGGATCTTGGTTATCAATCTTAACATATTTTATTGCACTACTGCATTTGAAAATGATAATTAGTGAACAGAAAGGCTTTTTATATTCTAAAAAGAGAAAGTGAACTCAACCTTCGGGAATGAACCTTAGAATGGAACTTCTGTAGCAAGCCTCTGAAGAGACCTCAAAGAGTCATGGCAACCCATCCATTTTATATCTTGAAATTTAACTCCTCAAGGGTTTATGCTTTACTGCCAATTAAGCAGTGGATAGTGATTTGCTGGAAGGTTAATTTTAAAGATCGGGTATATTTCCTATTTTTTCTTTTTTCCAGGACTCATCTAGATACCTCAGCAGAGTTGCGGTATTCAGTTGGATCCCTAGTGGACAGCCAGCCTGACTATAGAACAACTAAAGTAATAAGAAGACCAAGGAGAGGCCGCATGGGTGTGCGAAGAGATGAGCCAAAGGTTAAAATTTCTATTCCAGTCTCTGATGGTTTTAAGTAAATACACTATTCCGTTTGGGATAGAATTTTAATACTGAGAGAATTCAAGTACATACTAGCATTTTTATTAGTTTCAAATGTGACATAGGACTCATTTTAAAAACTATAACTAACATAAAAGCCCTACTATGTGCCAGAAGTTAAACTAAGCATTTCCCATGTATTTATCTGCATTACTTTATGAAATGGGCACTATTTTGATATCAATTTCAGGTATAAAAATAGTGAAACTCAGACATTTTAAGTGTTTAATAAACACAGCCAAAAAATAAAATAAAAAACATGAGCCTGTGTTTGTTTGCTTTCCAATTCCGTGCTTTCACCCATTATTCTCTACTGCCCAACAAATGGATTTTTGGTTTGCTTGGGCACGTAAGCAATGACATTCATTTTATTAATGAAATTAATTAAATATTATTAAATATTCAAAATTAATTATAATTACTATTTTAAAAACACTTTGAGGAAAATGTGCATAGGCTGTTGAAGTGTTTGTAGAGAACTATTCATAATCAACTACAGTGCCAGCCTTTCATTCACTCAATAACTTAAAATTTGTATGCTATACATGTTGAATAAGTATGTTTATAGTTTCATTTTATAAGGAAGTAATATAGTTCTTTTGTGGCCTAAGTATACTTTGTTTTCTCCAATCACTTTTACATGTTCAAAATACTACATAACCTACTTGTTTTTATTTGCACACAGGCTCTTAACACCCTGTGGTTTTTAAATGGCACCTACCTATGTGTCATGTATGAATTAATTTCTCACAGTAGGCATTCAATATCTTTTGAATGGAAAAACAAATAAATGAACAAATGAAGAATAAATTAAGTTTATATTAGTTATTTTCTCATTTTTATGTGACAGATAAATTAATACTCTTAGTACCAAAACAATTTGTAGCACAAATGCTAATTCAGGTCCTCAAATCTTAAATAAACACTCAAGACAATATCATGTGGTTCCCTCCAAAATTATTTTACATCATCAAAAAAATGAAAAGCAATTTTTTAAAAAGTGGAAAACTCTGGGACCTCACAAACTTCTCATACTTTCAGATTACAGCTTGAAAAACACTGGTCTGTTTGTTACTTAAGATTTTCACTCACATGATGATTTATATCAATTAAAAATCATAGCCAGGTAAATTATTATGTCTTGAGATTAAAAAAATCAATGAAGTGTTTAAGTGACCAGAGCAGTAGAGATGAAATTAAATAACTTTGCAAATTTTGTAATAATAATTTGTTAGAAACTATGTAAATGACATAAGATAGATAATATTTGTAATTCCAGTCTCTAATAAGAAAGTGTAGATAAGGCTAATTATAATTAGTACAAGAAATGGGAATTCTTGAGTACAAGTCAATGGAAACCATTAATTTGGAAACAAGAATAAATTCTTTAAATAATTGTTACCTTGATTTGAGGTTGAACTAGAAACCATGCAGATGTTTATCACCTTGATTTCTATTAAAATCTTGATATTTATGCTGAGACTACCTCCCATTATTTAAAAATGCCAAGGAACTATTTTATTCAACTAATACATTAAAATTTTAATAATCAATTCTGCTTTTGCCAAGTAAGCTATGAAAGCATGTGTGCTTTTTTGTTGTTTTTCAGAATATTGCTTTGAAAATGAGCAATGTGATGAATACTGTAATTGTTCATTTACTATTCAGGTAAAATCTCTTGGGGATCATGAGTGGAATAGAACTCAACAAATTGGAGTACTAAGCAGCCACCATTTTGAAAGTGACACAGAAATGTCTGATATTGATGATGATGACAGAGAAACAATTTTTAGCTCAATGGATCTTCTCTCTCCGAGTGGCCATTCTGATGCCCAGACTCTAGCCATGATGCTTCAGGAACAATTGGATGCCATCAACAAAGAAATCCGGTGAGCTCACCTATTACTGATGGTGTCAACAGATTAGTAGACCTTGATACTAAAAATGTGATCATCAGATCAGAAACATTGGCATCACCTGGGAGGTTGTTAGAACTGCAGAATTTCAAACCTCACCCTACTGAATAAGAATGTGTGATTTCACTAGATCCCCAGGATGTCTGTATATGCCCTATATACAATTAGCACAGCCTTTGTAAGGAACATACATGAAATATACAGATTAATGATATGAGGGCAATATAAAACAATGAGGTAAAGACAAAATCTTCAATGAGCATTGAAGCACATTTTAAATTAAAATTTACAATTTAAATGATATCTGTGGTGATGAGACCCATGAGATACATTCTTAAGGCACATTTGATGCTGCAGTAAAGGTATGAAAGAGCACCCAAATTAATGTATAGCTATCTCTTTAAAAGTATTTAGACATTGGAGTGAAATGAACTATGACTGAATTATTTTGAAGTAGATATAAAAAAATTTAGTATGACCACAAAGTATCTGGATAATAGATGATTTCAAAAAAGTAGATAATATTACAGAATTGAAATTATACAAATTAACATTTCAAATATTGATAAATGTTGTCACTAAGATAACTTAAATTTTAACTTATGTACTTTCTTGAATCCCAATAACATCCACAGTCTTTTTTTTTAGTTAAAGTTTATTGGTGTGAGAATTGTTAGAAAAGTTACATAGGTTTCAGGTGTACAATACTGTAATACATCATCTATATATCACATTGTGTGTTCACCATTCAGAATCAGTTCTCCTTCCATCACCATATATTTGATCTTTTTTACTCTCTTTCTTTTTCAGTCATTAATTTGACTTACCCCTGTGAAGAAAGAACTCTATTGTGTCAGGTGGATTTATTTTCTTTCACACATCAGAAAACTATTCTTTTTTCAACTGATGAACAGTTTTTACTATTTTGAACAATGCCTTTATGTCTTCTTTCTGGCTCTAGTTAAATTTGTTGACCTCCTATTTTGATTCACATCTACCTAGATCTCAATTGTCCACCATATTACACATTATAATAGTTTCTCTTCTGGATGACAGTAACAGTTTCTTTCTGGTTTCTTTGTAGTGTTTGGGTTCCCAGTCTAATCCAAACTAACACTATAGCCAGAGCAGACTCTTTAAAATCCAAATGTGCTTATGTACTTTTGCTTTTTCCAGTGCTTTAGTTTCTCATTAAAAAAAAGATCAAAGCCCTTCAGGTGGTCTGCAATGCCCTACCCACCTCAACATTGTCTTACCATTCACCTGTCTAACTCCATGTTCTATTATACATGACTTCCACTTCTTTGAATGTCCCATGCTACCTCCTTTGTTGTTGCTGTTCCTTTCTTCTGGAACATTCTCTGCAGTCCACAGTGTTCTGCTCTAACACTTCACCCACTTTATTCTTACTTACCATGAACGGCTCCAGCATCACTTCTGCTCTTCAGTTCTTTATCTTCACTAGATTGTAAATTACATAAGAACAAAAAACATATCTGGTTTTGCTCACTGTTTTATTTCCAGAGGGAGCACTTTGCTTGATAAATAGAAAGTGCTTCATAAATACTTGATTACTATAAATAGAAAGAAGAATATAAAAGGGGAATTCCAACTGAGTAACAGTTTCATACACTGTGCAGCTAATGGTTGAGCTTACTAAATAGATTAGAAATCAAGTACACAACCTTGTGAAGTTTGTTTTCACCAAAAATACATATACGCACCCTGAAGAACAACCTATGTTCCTCCAAAGACTCTTAGCTTAGTTATATTAGGATAGTAATTCACAGGAACAATCTTGGCATAGACTAAATTGATACCCAAATAATGAATTCAAACTGTTGCCCTTCAATATATTACATCACTGCCCCTCTTAATGTAGATTAATGCAGTTGCTGATTGTAAGAAATACATAAAATTTTAGTACATAGCAACATTTAAAAGAAATTAGCACCTTGATATAAACCATGGTAATATGCTAACAATAACCAGAATGTTTCTCTGGTTAAGATTTTTCTTCTTTCACCAATTAATAATTTTACAAAATAATTTTTTAAAAAATTCTCTCTTCTGGCTTCTCAGTTCACTAATTCTCTTAAAGGGAAAGATCAAATTACTTCAAACTCTTTTGCCACTGCAACATTCATTAATCTGTTCATCTGTAGTTAGCTATATCTGCCTGCTTTACTTTTGAAGTTTAATTTATCCTCTCAGCTTTCTGTATGATTCCTGTAGGAATCTCTCCCCAACTCACCGGGCATTCTACTATGTTGTTATAGTAATACCTTGGTTTGTGAGCATAATTCGTTCCAGAAACAAACTACTCATATTGCAAGACATCGCTCATTGAACAAGTTAAAATGTATTAGAAATGTTTGCTTGTCTTGCGGAATACTCGCAAACCAAGTTACTCGCAATCCAAGATTTTACTGTATTTTCTTTGCTTTCCATATCTACATCAGAATTCAAAAGATCAATGGAGTATCATTTATTTTTTTCCAAATAAACTGAACTTCTAGGTAGCGTTAAATTTCCTGTTTGATTAAACTTTTATTTACCTTTTACTCAACTGTTGCTCTAGTTTTGACTCTCTTTTACAATTGATAGAATACTAGAGTTAATAACTACTCGTTTTTTGTACAGCAGAACCACATTGCCTCTCACCACATTTTTCTGAAGGAGTCACTTTCCACCAATAATTTTAAAAGTACAAAATTCTTTCTTCTTCTTTTTTTTTTGAAGAGGAGGCAATTTTTCCACTGGAATGTGTTTATGTGTTTAAAGCACATTAATGATGTTACTCTGTTACTTGATAAAGCCTTCCTTTGGGATTCTGATATTTGGCTGAAGTTAAAATGTACCCATGAAAGTAAACATCAAAGTAATAGAATTCACATACTATTTGTAAGTAAAAAATATATAATTAAGATGAAATGTTCCTATTACTATTTTTTATTGACTTTAATTTTTTAGAGCAGTTTAGTATTTATAGCACATTTAATTGAGGGGAAGATAAAGAGATTTTCCCATAAACCCCCTGACCCCACACATGCATAGCTTCCCCCATTAGCCACGTCCTCCACCACAGCAGCAATTTTATTACAACTGATGAACCTAGAATGATGGATCACAATCACCCAAAGCCCATAGTTTACATTATGGTTTACTCTTGGTATTGTATTATACATTCTATGTGTTTGGGAAAATGTATAATGACATGTATCCATCATACAGAGTATTTTTACTGCCCTAAAAACCCACTGTGCTCTGCCTAATAACCCCTCTTCCCATTCCAACCCCTGCCAACCACTGATCTTTTTACTGTCTCCATATTTCTGTCTTTTCTAAAGTGTCGTATAGTTGGAATCATACAGTATGTAGCCTTTTCAGATTGGCTTCTTTTATTTAGTCATATGCATTTATTGTTCCCTCATGTCTTTTCATGGCTTAAAAGTCCATTTATTTTTAGTGCTGAATAATAATTCAGCGTGTGGATGTACCTCAGTTTATCCATTTACCTACTGAAGGGCATTTTTGGTTGCTTCCAAGTTTGGGCAGTTTTAAATAAAGCTGTCATGAACATCCATGTACAGATTTTTGAATGGATGTAAGTTTTCAACTCCTGTGGGTAAATATGAAGGAACATGATTCATGGATCATATGCTAAGAGTATGTTTAGTTTTGCAAGAAGCTGCTAAAGTGTCTTCCTATGTAAATATGGAAAAAGAAAACTTTGCAGTAATGATAACCTTGAAGTTAAGGACTGTATGTCATAGACGATCACAATAAGCTGTTTGTACTTAGGAGGAAAATATGTTGGGAGAGGTTTCTGTTCCCCTTTTTAAGCAAACGATACTGGTGCACAGTTTCATTATGTGTAATACATAATACATAAAATATGTATAGATTCAACTTAAATAGGAATTTTATGCAACCCAGCTAAAACTCTTTATTCTTTGTGTCTTTGTGTAACTAACTTATACACATTCTTGAAGTTTGTCCCTATTTAAAGAAAAAGGGTAATAGTGTTTTGTCTTGTCAAGGTCATTTATAGCAACAGTTTAATTTTTTTATTATCTATCTATCTATCTACCTACCTACCTACCTATCTTTCTACCTATCATCTCCACATTATTAAATTGCCCAGTGCTTATTTAAAGGCAACTTAGCGAAATAGGTATTAATGTTAAAAAAGACTCAGGGTTTTATTTGGTCAAATGATAATTGTGACCATTTACTGAGGAATTGAACAGTTATGCTTCTTTATGGATCAGAGGTAAGATTCAGTAACTGTTTGAATCTGAGGTTCCAAAAGTCTCGTTTATCAGGACCTGAGTTCAAATATAAGCTTAGATAGAATTAGTGGCAGAAATTAACTAGGCAGGCAAGGTTTAAAAAAAATTCTGGCAAGTGGTACTATAAGAAAGAGTTACCCTCTGCAAGTGGGGAGGAATTATATATCCCTTGGGAAGAAAAATTTACCAAACTTCAGCCAGGAAGTCCCTGGAATTTACTGAAAGTTATATTTTCTAGAGAAAAAAAAAAGATGAAAACATTAAATTTGATATAAAATGTTCACAGAGTAGTTTTATTGACTTGTTACATGATTTCCAATTGCCAATATAGCAGCACCTAATGGGTCAAAATTAAACTGTATCCTTCAGGCTAATTCAGGAAGAAAAAGAATCTACAGAGTTACGCGCTGAAGAAATTGAGAATAGAGTAGCTAGTGTGAGCCTGGAAGGCTTGAATTTGGCAAGGGTCCACCCAGGTACCTCCATCACTGCCTCAGTGACAGCTTCTTCGCTGGCCAGCTCATCTCCCCCCAGTGGACACTCGACGCCAAAGCTCACCCCTCGAAGTCCTGCCAGGGAAATGGATCGGATGGGAGTCATGACACTGGTATGCCGATGTGTCCAGAGGACCTTTGCCCCTTATAGTATTGATGATACGTTGCTATTGCTGATTGGCTGTTTAGTCTAGGGCTTGCTGTGTGTTTTATTGTTTCTTTATCTTTTTCTTTTTTTTTTTTTACAACCACCCTATATGGTAAATTCAGTTATTAATCCCATTATGAGATGAGGACAGGTAGCCTGCGTAGGTGTAACTTTCCCAAGGTCATATAATAAGTAAATGAAAACTAGGAATCTAAATATTACATTAGAAATCTGAGTGACATAAAACCATTAAGTACATTTTTATTGATGACATTTTGATGAGTAAATTGGGACAGGTTTTTTTAAACACAATAAATAATAAAAATTAGTTTTTGTATTGGATTGTCGGAAAAGTCATGGCATACTTTTCCTGTTTTTCGTTGCAAAAATGCATCATGACTTTTCCGACAACCCAATAATTGCTTCAGTATACCAACATAGGATGTTATAATTTTATACTATACATAATATATTTTTAATAAGAAGAGCCATCAAAAGCAATAGCAGCAATGTCTCAAATTTGTTTTAGAATTTCATGTCAACGTTTTTATTCTTCTTTATTGTTTAATTATTTATTCATTTGTCTTTATATTTGGGATTAAATGTTGGAAGCTTGAATTGGGAAGTCCCTGAACATAACTGAGAGAAAATCAAAGTGTCCTTTGCAATAAATAATATAGGACAACCTCTGGAAAATATGATTATAGTGACTACTGAATATTAGTCATGTTTATGACTAAAATGATGTTTAGTCATTTAATTCTCATGATAACATTTGAAATTCTGAGGGTATTACCTCAATAGAAGGTGGAGGTAACAGAGGCTTTGAAGGTAGGAGTGAATTGCCCATATTCAAAACAGCTAGTAACTAGAGCTATATTTTTCTTCAAATTTGCTAACTCAAAAGCATGTACTGTAGTCTTTTTTTTCTGTGAATATGTTAAATTAACAATAATGAAGATTTAAATACTCTGGACTATTTACAGAGGTAAAATTCTGTTTTGTAATGCATATTAAAACTATATTATTAACACAATAAAATTTTAATTAAAAATGAGCAGTTTGGGATAGAAATTAATTAAAATACAATAGGTAAAAATAATAGATCATACACAGTTAAATCTAACATGAACATAACAATGGAGGAGAAATTAATGATACTACAGAAAAATATGAAGTGTGCATTGCGTTTCTGCTCAGAAGGTTGTGAAGCTTCTAGAAAAAGGCACAATGCCTGTGAGTGTATGTGTGTGTGTGTGAGTGTGTGTGTGTGTGTGTGTGTGTGTGTAATACCTCAACAAAGAAGTTTAATTCATTTTCTAAATGACACCTTTAAATACATATGTTGCAAAAATTTGTGATATGGTTAAACAATTATAAAAATTATTTTCATTAGAATATATATATATATATCTGTATATCTGTGTGTATCTATATATCTATATATATGTATATATCAATATATTTATATAAATATAGATATGGTACTCTCATCCCTAGAGGAAAACTGCCTTATGAACAATTCATTTTTAAAATTTTTATTTTATCTTCACAAAATTTCTGTATGTATATATGGTTAGGTATCTTTTCCTTTGATTTTTCAATTTAGAATTGAAACAGAAAACTATTTACAAAGTGAGGCGATGTTTCCCATATTCAAACTCTATAGTTATGGGACTTCAATTCAGTAAAGTCAATAAAAGAGAAATGGTGGAATGAAAAAAAGAAAAACAGGAAACATTTACCTCCTTAAGCCATTGAGTCCTCTAGTCTGTGCTAATTTCCAGAGGTTGATATTAAACATATTTTTAAAAAAATACAAACAATACCAATCAGAAAAAACACATAAACTTTTAGCCAATGTACTAAGATGTGCTAATGCATATTGAGCTACATTATGACCTGCTTATTTTAGAAGTCTGGAAGCCATCCATCTGATTTTATTAACTAAAATGAGTACTGTCTCTAGCTTAGTTTCTGTGTATGTAATATATGCTACATATATTGATTACCTACTTATTGCTAAAGCTAAATAAAAATCTTGGTCCACAGAGCATAATTTAGTCAACATTCAAGGCAAGGAAACTGGATATTTCTGTAATACTATTGGGTTGTCGGAAAAGTCATGACGTATTTTTTCTATGTTTTTCATTGCAAAAATGTGTCATGACTTTTCCGACAATCCAATATTATTTCCTTACATTTTTAAAACATAATATTTTCCCTTTTAAGTATTTTCATAAATAATAGAATTATAATCCTTGACAGTGTTATTTTTATATTACTAAAATAATATATTTATAATATTTAGATGTGATATTTGTGTGTGTGTGTGTGTGTGTGTGTGTGTGGTGTGCGCAAAAGATGCCAGTATTTTCATGCATTTGCTTAAGCAGTTAGTCATAAATAAATCAGTGGTAAATGAACATTATTACACACTTGAAAAATACTCAGGGCATTTCCTGAGGGTTAAAAAGTATTTAAAATGTTCAATATCTGACTCAGAAAAACAAGAAATGAAATGCAAGAAGTCCTTATCACTTAATAAAACTTTGTCATCAAATTCACTATTGTTATAGTGAAACACAGGTAGATTTTCTTTTACTTGTAGAAAATATTGGAGGAAAAATAATTTTGTTGGACAAAATGCATGTTTGAACATTCAAAGGAATTTAGAAATTTTAGGGACTAAAAATAGAGATTGAAAAGATATTGTGTTAGTTTGGATGGTATAGCTTTATATGTTTTGCAAACATTGTTATTTGTTTTTGTTGTATTCATTTTTACTAGTAATTACTTTTACCTCACCACAAATCCATTAGCATAAATAACATGCTGGCAATATCTAGTCAGAATAAGGGATGCAGTAAATCAACCCATTTTCCAATAACAACAAAAATGTAAAGTGTAATGGAATAGTTTTAACAAAAATTATTTTAATTATGTAAGAAAAAGTAACAGAGATATTAAGTGAATAATGTTCATATGGAATCATAAAGAATTAACTTTTTAAAAATTCTGTAAAAGAGCATTGACAAGGAAACAGCTGGGCGAGGAAACACGTTATACTGAGGTTGGAGCTTTTGGCATTTGAGAATGGGGGACTTGTTAAAATCCAGGGAGCCTGAGATCCCTCAAGAACACCAGCCTGCCCAAAGCAGGCCCAAGCCTCTGCATTGATGGGGCAAAGGGAGTGTTTGCCAACTCCAGATACATGCACTGAATCTTCATTTATGCATAATCTTTTTCATTCCCATCTGTATTTTCTTAGGAGGAGAGAGTCCCGTATTTATTTCTGGCTAGCTCAGTCTATATGTGCATTATATTCCCTAGGGTCCATGTCTCATATCTTACGTATATACACCTGGCTCCATCATGGAAACATGCCCCCACCCAATGCCATCTAGTAAGTTGCCCCTCTAAAGCCACTCCCAGGAGGAGTGCTTTTATACTGATTAACAAACAATTATAAACATACTTATTTGGAAAAAAAAGGAAGAGAAAAAAAAGAGATAGCCAAGTCATAGCTACTATTTAAAATTGTAACATGGTCAAATGGTAATCATTCACTAGTTCTGTTTTCTGTTGCTTTTATGACTGCCAATTCCAGCCAAGTGATCTAAGGAAGCATCGGAGAAAGGTACTGTAAATAACTTTTATATGACTACTAGTTGAATATTGCTTTTTTCTATGGAAGTTTTAAAATTATATGTCCTCTAATTGAAGTATTTTATTAACAT